CAATTAAAAAAAAATCTTATAAAGAATAGAAAGTGGTACAGGGTTGGCCAGGTGGCACAGTTGGTTAGAGCACGAGGTCTGAGCAGCAGGGCCACCGGTTCGATTCCCACATGGGCCAGTGAGCTTCGCTCAAGCTGAGCTACTGCTGAAATGGCAACGGGCGGTGGGATGGCTCAGCTGGTGAGTGCGTGCTCTTAACGACAAGGTTGCCGGTTCAACTCCCACATGGGATGCTGGGCTGTCACACCCCCCCCCCCGCAACTAGATTGAAAGCGGCGACTGGACTTGGAGCTGAACTTGCACCTCCCACAACTAAGATTGAAGAACAACAACTTGACTTGGATTTGATGGGTCCTAGAGAAACGCAATGTTCCCCTCCCCCCATTCCTTAACACTGTTCCCTTTCCCAAATCCCCAATAAAAAATTGAAAAAAAAAAAAGAATGACTTTAAAAAAAAAAAGAAAAAGAAATGGTACATATATACAATGGAATGTTACTCAGCCATAAAAAATGAAATCTTGCCATCTAAAACAACATGGATGGACCTAGAGGGTATTATGTTAAGTAAAATAAGACAAAGAAGGGCAAATACCATATGATTTCACTTATATGTGGAATCTAAAAAACATAATAAGTGAGCAAATAAAACAGAAACAAACTCATAGACACAGAAAACAAATTGATGGTTGCCAGAGGGGAAAAGGCATTGGGCAGATGGGTAAAAAAGGTGAAAGGGATTAAGAAGTATAAGTTGCCAGTTACAAAAATAGTCACGGGGATATAATGTACAGCATAGGGAATATAGTCAACAATATTGTAATAACTGTATGGTATTAGATGGATATTAGTCTTATTGGGGTGACCACTTTGTAAGGTATATAAATGTCTAAGCACTATGTTGTACACCTGAAACTAATATAATATTGTAAGTCAACTGTAATTGGAAAATAAATTAATAGGAAAAAAAAAGAATAATGTTTGGCTGGATGCTTTGGGCAGCTTCATACCCATGACTATTTGTGGCAATCCCACCCCCACAGCTCTTCAGTCGCCTTTGTTCTGAGGCATGAGTCAAAGACATCCTGGCCCACTGAAACTGAGGAGGAAAATTCCTTGCCCCTTGGGCTTGTTAGGTGTGGGCCTACTGTGGGAGTGGCATCCCTGATGATTGAATAAACTTCGCTTTACTTTAAGGATAAAGCATGTTTGCAGTCAAATAATTCTTGTCTTCTCCTGTAGCATCCCAGAAATCCAAAAACTTTCCTTTATTTCATTCTCTCCCTGCAACCCTTGGTTCATACTGATAGTGTCTATACTTCTATAATCCCATCTCTATTCCTGACTTCTGCTGAGATACCTGATTAAAATCATGAGTACTCTCCTCATGAAGTGATTTTTTCCATCCACACACTTAGTGTTCTCTCCAGAGAACATTTTTTGGTTTTTTTGCAATACTGATAGAATGAGAATTTTCCAAATCTTCAAGTTCTAGTTCTTTTCTGCTTAATGATTCTTTTGATTTATCTCTCTACTCTTGCATTTTACTATGAGCACCGAGGAGAAGCCAGTACTCATCTTCAACACTTGGCTTAAAAATTTCATCAGCTAAATATCTAATTTTATTGCTCACAAGTTACACCTGCCACAAAACACTACGACAATATTCAACCAAATTCTTTGCTACTTTATAACAAGGATCATCTTTCCTCCAGTTTCCTATAGCATGTTCCTCTTTTCTCTTTGAGACCTCACCAGAAGCATCTTTAATATTTATATTTCTATCAGCAGTCCCTTCAGTGCGATACAGGCTTTTTCTAGCATGCACCTCAAAACTTTTCCAGCTTGTGCTAATCATTCAGTTTCAAAGTCACTTCCATATTTTTAGGTATTTATTAAAATAGAACCCCACTTCACAGTACCAAAATCTGTATTAATCTGCTCAGTTTTCCAAAACAAAATAACACAGGCTGGGTGACTTAAACAACAAACATTTATTTTTCTCACAGTTATGGAGGCTAGAGGTCCATGCTCAAAGTGCCAAAAAATTTGCTTTCTGATGAGGACTCTCTTCTTGGCTTTTAGTTGGCCACCTCTTGCTCTGTTTTCACATGGTCTTTCCTCTGGGCAGCACTTGACTGGCCCCATCAAGTGAAACACCTTTGGTTTATTTTAACTTAATCTGATATTGCAGTGTCTCCTGCCTGACATCATGGGGTCTTGTAGATAGAATTAGGCATGCAGGGAGGGTTAAGTAAAAGGCATTCATTCAAACAGGGAAAGATATACTATGCTGATTTGTATGAAATGTCAGTGGGAGAGACCTCTCACCCCAATCTCATTTAGTAGTAGTGGTTGCTGACATCTTAATTGAATTGGTTACCAGTGAGGGAGGTTTGACCCGGCCCTATAAAATATCATTATTTATATAGACACTATGAGGAGGCTTATGCTAATGATTATTATTATAGTCTTAGTAACCAGCAATATATCTTTACCACTCATGCCAGTACCTATACACACACACACACCCTACTCACTGTAGGCTCTTTATACCAAAGTTGAAACTACTGTGGTGAAGGAGATAACCAGAGCAGAAGAGTTAGAGTGGGAGGGAAGAGTACTGTCACTTGTCAACTACCTGCCCTGTGCCACGTACTCTGCTTGGGGGACTTAACATGTCTTAGATCATTTAACCCTTAGCACATAGCCTGTAAAGTAGGTGCTGTTATTCCTGTGCTACTGATAAGGAAGTGAAGTGAGAAAATCAGATTATGTCAGTGTCCTGCTGCTTTCAATTCTACGATTATTACCCTTTCCCCCCGAGGATAAACATCCTAACCCCTCATCCCAATCTCCAGGCTGTGTTCTCCTTAGTTTCTTCTGAGGCCCCTCTCCCTCTTGCAGTAGATGCTCCAGCCACACTGACCTTTGTTCAGTTCCTCTAATGTGCCATGTTCTTTTCTGCTCCAGGGTCATTGTTCATAATAGTCTCTGCCTGGACTGCTCTCTTCTGTGTTCACCTGCATTCTCCAGCTATCTCCTACTCATTCTCCAGGTGTTAGCAATACTCGTAGATGTCACATCCTCAGGTGTCAGGGAAGCTGCCAGTGACTGCCCCCTTTATTCTACGATGTCCCTCAGACTGTTGGATCCCTTTGTTGTGTCCTCCTGTTGCATTCTGCAACTCATCCCTACTCATCACATAGTTTTACATGTAACTGTTTTCAGGATCTTTGTCCTCATTAGATGAAGCTTCCTGTCACAGACTATTCTCTGCTTTATCCCTATCACTTAGAACAGTGCCTGGCGCATGATACATGTTCCATAAATACAGAGGGTGCCAAAAAAGTGTATACACATTTAAGAGATGTCATCTGTTGGTATTGGTTGAATGAATATTTGTTTAAGTTATCTATAATTGGTACATAATAGGTACCCAATATAAACTATAAATTAAACTATAAATGTAGTTGTTATTATTCTCCAAAGGCAAATACCTAGTCAGGGGCAGAACCAGGATTTACACCCAGGTCTGAATCTAAAGCCCATGTTCCTGTCACAATTTGGCTCTGCCTGCAGAAATGGGTTGTAGACTCAGCACCGCCACAACCTGTCTGAATGACTTACGGTGAGACAATATATCACTCTGAATCTCAATTTTCCCATTTGTAAATTGGGGTACGGATAGGCAAAATTCAGATTGTTCTTCATGTAATCGAGAGGAGGAGAATAGAAGTCTAGATAGGAGAGGCTCTAAATAGTTACTTAGTTGACCAATACAAAATCAGTATCATCTCTCTGCAAGACAGTTAAACAGGTATGCCAAGAACCTTCAATATGTTTCTGCCCTTAGCCTGGGTAACCCCACTCAGGCTGTGTGGAGTAATATGTGGTGTTGGAGAGTCCTGGCCTTAGATCCCAACATCCCCTTTGCTAGCTCTGTGGTCTTGGGCAAGTTAATATCCTGACCTCAATTTTCTTCTTTACAAATGGTATAGCCACATCTATATTTTTACCCTTTTCTAAGATAAAAACAATATAATAACATGAAAATAAATTTCTGAATATAGAATGAAAGATTTTTCCCATGACCTTAGCCACACAATTCTTTGTGCGGTTCTGTGCCATTGAGGGCCACCTCTTGAGGCAGAAACCACAGGCAGTACTGAGAAAGGAGAGAGAAACTGAAGACAGAAGCAGGCTGTGGTTTGAGGCCAAAATCTAGGGTGTAGACCAAGAGCCCCATGGGATGGGATGGAGCAAATGAGAAAGCCAGCTACTGAGGCAAAAGAGATACCAAATCTGAGTAATGGATAATGGCTAGGTTATTTATTTCCTTAGAATGAATTCCCAGGTGTGGGATTACTGAGTCAGAGTGGATGCAATTGGGATATAACAACCAGAAACAGGGTTTATTTTTCTAAGAGATGAGCTACAGTTCTTCTTTTCCCCTTCCTCTTCTGGAACTGATGAGTGGACCTTACAGAGCTGTGCTGTTCAATATGAGAGCCAGTAACCATATGTGGCTTTTAAATTTCAAGTTAGAGTAATTAAAATAAAATAAAATTCAAAATTCAGTTCCTTAGATGCACGAGCCATAGTTCAAGTGTTCACTAACTACGTGTGCCTAGTGACTACTGTATCAGAAAGTACAGATACAATATATTTTCATCATTGTCGAAAATTTATTGGACAGTGCTGCTCTAGAGTTTCTCAAGAGGCCATGGTTGGCGTCTGGGGTTGGAGCTAAAACTTGTCAAGTGTTTGCAAATGCCCCATAAAGGAGCAACATTATATCTATTTGAGACCCAAGAGCTTTTATCTTAGAAAAAAGAATCTCCTAACTTTTTTTGGGTTGGCTTCAGGTTGGTTCTGTCTGGAGAGAGGGAAGCTTAGAACGATGGCTTAGAAAGCACTGGCTCCGAGTGTAACTCTATACTTCATTCTCATTTTCCTCTGATCTCTTGTTGGTCTGTATCCTGGTTTTGGGGAATTGCAGGAACAAGACCCTGCAGATGGAGAAGATCAAGGCCCGTTTAAAGGCTGAGTTTGAGGCCCTTGAATCAGAGGAGAGACACCTGAAGGAATACAAGCAAGAGATGGACCTCCTGCTACAGGAGAAGATGGCCCACGTGGAGGAACTCCGACTGATCCATGCTGACATCAATGTGGTACGTGGCTGGCTGCCTGAAGCCTACCTCTGGGCCCTTTGAGGAATAAGTAATAGTGAGTGCTCTAGCCTCTCCTTAAGATGTGGCTGTGGCAGCTTGGGGGAGTAGACATCAGGCTATGGTGGAGTGGAAGAATCCAGGAGTTCTGAGATCCAGCCCTGGCACTTTTATTGATTGACTGTATATCACTGGAAAAGTGCCCTCTTCTCTCTGGACCTCATCTCCTCTTTCTGTACTATAAGAGGGATTCAGTCGTATCTAAGGTCTCTTTCAGCTCCGATGTGCTTATTCTGAGTCTGGGAGTTAGGAGCTAACCTTGGTGAAAAGCAGAGCAGGCAGCTGCCTGTGGGGTCTAGCCTAAAGGGCTCCAGAGCTTCTAACCGGGCCAAACAAATCATTTCTGCCTGCCTGCCTGCCAAAGTGGGGCCCTTCATCAGAGTCTCTCTTTTGGAGATTCTTGGAACATGGGGCATGAACTGTCTGCTAAGGTGATAAGTTCCCAACATTTTGGAGTTGCTCAAGCAGAGTCTGAATGATTACCTGTCTGGGCTGCGGTATTGATGAGTTCTTCAACCGGAGAGATGTTGGAGGTGCTGACCAATAAGGTCCTTTCCAGCTCTTACAGCCTATGACGAGAAGTCTTTGTAAAAAAATTACATTTGAATGAGTTAAGTTTCCATTCTTGGGAAACTCATTTCTGTGACAATACTTAGTTCCTGATTTTGCCAGGTCTAGAATTTTTTTAAAGGAAATATGAGTGCAATTTGGGCAGTAGGTATTTGGGATTTTCTGTGTCATAAGATCACAGTTTTCCAGGGTCTCACGGGTTTTTGGCAGTTCTGCTCCCAGCTAACCTAAAGATACAGAGCCAATGAAATGAACAAGATATTAGCCACAGAGGGGCTGAGAAGCTAGGCCACTGGATCTCAAACTTGAACATGCATGAGAGTCACCTGGAGGGCCTGTTAAAACAGATTGTTGGACTCTACCCTCGAGTTTCTGATTCCGTATGGCTGGGGTGGTGCCTGAGAATTTACGTTCCTAATGAGTTCCCAAGTGATGCTGCTGCTGCTGATCTGGTGACCACATTTTGAGAAACATTGATCTAGAACAGGGGTCAGCAAACTGCGGCTCTGTAGGGACGTACATGTGGCTCTGAAGTAAAATTGAACATGAAAATAAAACTATCAGTTTCATTTATACAATTTTTAAAGGATGTTATTCACATAATGGTGATTTCATTTGTTTTATGGCTCTCGAATAATTTGTAAATTCTTGTGAGGGGCTACCATGTGTAGCCAGCAGCCAGCGTGAGCGGCCAGCAGCCGCAGTGAGCGGCCGTCCAGAAGCCGGCGACTGATCTGCCTCTCCCGGGAAGAGCGCATTGATGGTGCCAACTTGGGCCGGTGAAGCGACGTCATCCACAACTAGCCTGAAGAACAAAAACGACAGCAACTTGTCTGTTCCCCTTCCCCTAATTCCCCAGCGCTGTTCCCATCCCCCAATTCCCCAATAAAAATCTTAAAAAAATAAAAAAAATGAAAAAATGAATAAATTGTTGTGAGGGACAGGATTGGCCCTTCCGTCTCAAAAGTTTGCCAACCCCTGATCTAGAAGAAAGGCCAATGGCCTGGGAGGCAGAAGCCCCGAGTTTTTTTTTTTGCCCCTAAAAAGTATTTCTCTGAGGAGGTTTCTGCTCTGAGTCTCAATTTCCTGATCTGTAAAATGGTGGTGGGGTGCACTAAATGAGCTCTAAAGGCCATCTCAGCTCTAAGATGCTCTATTTGAATAATTGCCATTTATTGAGTCTTTACTCTGTGTTAGTCCCTGTACTGAGAGCTTTATATGAATTCAATCATTGAATCCTCACCAAGATTATATGAGGTAGGCACTATTATTATCACCATTATACAGATGAAAAAACAGGCTTGACAAGAGTAACATAGAATACATAGCAGATTGAGGACTTGACTATATATTGGTCTGGCTCTGGAATCTGTGCTATTATCCACTCACATATACAGCCTCGTCGAATATCTTGGGGTCCTTTCTCTGTGCTTACCTCACTGTGTTCCAGATGGAAAATACCATCAAACAGTCTGAGAATGACCTAAACAAGCTGCTAGAGTCTACCCGGCGGCTACATGATGAGTATAAGCCACTAAAGGAACACGTGGATGCCCTGCGCATGACTCTGGGCCTGCAGAGGCTCCCTGACCTATGTGAAGAGGAGGAAAAGCTCTCGTTGGAGTAAGCTGCCTGTCTCCTATCCCTGTAACACATACCACACACACACATATACGCACACGAACATACATAGAGCCTGGTCTGAATGTCGGTACCCAGGCCTGTCAGTAGCTAACTCATTGCATGACCTTGGGCATGCCTCTGTGCTGGGTTGTTACACCAGAAGAAGGATGATTAGACTAGAATTACTAGATGGCTTTTAAAATCCTTTGTGCAATTTTAACAATACAAGACTATTCTATGACTCTGTGTGTGTGTGTGTGTGTGTGTGTGTGTGTGTATGGCTCTTAAGAAGTCACTTCCCAAGTGAAGGCCTAGAAGGGGTATCCAGAAACTTGAAAACACAGAAGTCTGAGCTTTCATGGTCTCCAGGGGCTAGCCTGCCATTTCATCTTAAGACCCAGAGTTAAAAACTAGGCTCTCCTTACAGAGAAACAGTTCAGTTCATTCAAAGGAACACACTTCCTTAAGATAGAGCATGCTGCCTGCGGACGTGGTGAGTGTCTTATTTCTAGAGGTATGTCAGTAGAAGCCAGAGGACAGACACTTAATAGAAATACTGCAAAGGAACATGGGAGGGATGGTAGGTGAATGCCTTTTGAGGACTTTGCTAACCTTGGGATTTCTTTATTTTCTGGGTCTGTCAGAGCTAAGGGGCAGGAAGATTACCCTTCCCAGCAGACAATGGGTCTGGTACCCAAAGAGAAGAACCTTGTGCTGGGGAAGGTGCAGGAACTTTCCGTAATGAGCCACAGCCCAACCCCCTTGATTCTGTGGCATAGAGTCCTTAAGAGGGGCAAGGTTCTCCTTGTTTTCAGAATGATCCAGCTAATGTCTCTCATCTCCAAAGTTACTTTGAGAAGCAGAAAGCAGAGTGGCAGACAGAGCCTCAGGAGCCCCCCATCCCTGAGTCCCTGGCCGCTGCAGCCGCTGCCGCCCAACAACTTCAAGTGGCTAGGAAGCAGGACACTCGGCAGACAGCCACCTTCAGGCAGCAGCCCCCACCTATGAAGGTGAGTGAGCTGAGTAGTGGCTGTGGAAGAAGCAAGTTACCCTTAAGCAGCCCCATGGAAGGCTGGTTTGGGGGTCTGACTTATCTGGGGCTTTTCTAAAACAGCCTTCGCTTAGGACACAGAGGAAGAGGTGTGGTGTATGTGCTGGAGTGGACCCGCTGGCTTTCTCGCCTCACATTCCCAGAGAAGTTAGAATGCAGGGAGACTGGCCGACTCTGCTAAAGTATGATTTTCAACAAGTTAGAAACATGACTCTTACAGATACAGAGGGTGCCGAAAAAAAGTATGCACATTTTAAGAAAGGAAAAAACTATTAAAATTGTAATGCTCGGGCCGGCCCAGTGGCGCGATAGTTAAGAACTGGCTTGGGACGCCAGAGGGCCCCGGTTCGGATCCCATATATGAGGGCCAGTGACACTGCCCTCCACAGCTAAGATGCTGAACAACAGCTCGACCTGGAGCTGGGCTGCCATGAGTCGCTGGTGACGACGTAGGCTGCAGCCCCTGTGGCAGTGGGTTGCCATGGTTACGTATGTAGCCAGTAGCCAGCGTGAGCGGCCAGCAGCCGCAGTGAGCGGCCGTCCAGAAGCCGGCGACTGATCTGCCTCGCCCGGGAAGAGCGCAACGATGGTGCCAACTTGGGCCAGTGAAGCAACGTCCTCCACAACTAGACTGAAGAACAAAACGACAGCAACTTGTCTGTTCCCCTTCCCCTAATTCCCCCAGCGCTGTTCCCATCCCAATTCCCCAATTAAAAAAAAAATTGTAATGCTCAATATATACCAATAACAAAGGATGAATACAAGTCATGTGTATACATTTTTTTGGCACCCCCTGGTATATAGTAAGCAAGTATCATTCATGAGGGAGCCAGCAGGATTACAAAACTGGTTGCAAGAGCATTTGAGGAATAGATAATTATACAGTCAGGAAAGGAAAAGAATGCTGAAATAGTTTGCAAAATTAAATATAGACCTGGTTAGTGTCCTACAGGGGAATAAAACTGTAACCTTTGTGATTGTCTGTTCTTCACAACAGAAATAATCTTCATCTCTACTGGGCAAAAACCATTTGTAGCTTATCAGCATAAATCACAGAGTCTAGGCCCTGATCAACAGTAAATACTCAAACAAAAGCACATTCTCTTAGAGCAGGAATCAGCAAACTAGAGCCCACAGGCCAAGTCTGAACTGCTCCCTGTTTCTGTAAATAAAGTTTTATTGATCCACTTGCATGCCTGTTTATGTATTGTCTATAGATTCTTTCATGTAAAACAGTTAATGTTGAGTAGTTACAACTAAGACCATGTGACCTGAAAAGTCTAAAATATTTACTATTTTGGCCTTTACTGAAAAAGTTTACTGATACATGTCCTAGAGAATTGATCCTTGAGTGGGCTTATTAAACCATGCTCTAGCATAATGCTAAATGGATACACAGTTCTCATTTTGCCTTATTTCCAAGTTTTGGATATTTTTCTTCAGTACCCCCCCTTCCACCCCTTTTTGACCCTCACTCCCTTACGTCTATTACATCTCTTCCATCTAGCACTGATCTCTCTACTTGGGTCTCACTGACTGATTACTGCTCCTTCCTGTTGGGAAAAATCACAATTGCTTTCTGGACCTCTGGGGATCAGAAGGCTGCAGTACAGCTTAGAAATATCTGACCACTAACTTTCTTTGTCTTGTGTATCCCACCAGGCCTGCTTGTCATGTCATCAGCAAATTCATCGGAATGCACCTATATGCCCTCTGTGCAAAGCCAAGAGTCGGTCCCGGAACCCCAAAAAGCCAAAACGGAAGCAGGATGAATGAAAAGAGGGAGAACACATAGAGAGCTCTGCCGCTCATAACCCCTCCCCTTGGTCAGTGATTAATGTCCTCATGTGAAACAACCCTTCCCCACCTGTACCAAGTCTCCCATTTAATGTGATAGAAGCACAACCCCTCTCTCACTTTGCTTTTCTTTCTTTCTGCTCTTGGGGTTTCTGTTTAGGAAGAGATGTGGTTCAGGTGCTAATGACAGTGTGTCTGATGATCCCTTCTCTGCCACCCATGTTTCAACCCCTGCCCTTGTTTGGAGCTAAGGGAAGGGCAGAAGGCCCAAATGTGATTCTCTGTTTCTTGTGCCTGAGGCCTGGGACCTAAGGTCTGAGGGTTGGGGGAGGCCCATATCTCATTTCATGTAAAGGCTCCAGTGTGCCACCTCCCTGTACTTTTGCCTTAGGCTCTGAAAGGACAGCAGTCATTTTGCTGGACTTTATAATAGGCTTGGTATATATATCTCCCCTACTCTCATCTCATCCTCAAGGCCCAGAGGTAGCTTGGACAAGCCCTCCTTTTTATATTCATTTTGGAGGCCTGGCTGTTATAGATTTCACCGCCCCACTTCCACCCCAAGTCTCCCAGATACATGACAGTTCTCATGTACCAGGCTGTGTGTCTGGGGATCCTGAGATCTACAGGCCCTTCTCCCATAGTCCTAGTTTTCGCAAATTAGTAGTAGGATTTCCCCACGAAATTAGGGAGCTGGAGCTATACCCACTCTGTAAGTTCTGCCTAACTTGCTGCCTAACTCATTGGGCTGAGGGCTCTGCAATAGGGGCTGTCTTAGCCTGAGAGGGGCCCCAGGCTGACAACTGTGTTGCCTTTTGTTCAAAACCATTACTCAGATACTTAATGGTGAATCTTAGGGTTCAGAGGGGTAGGTTGAGATTCATGTGAGTGCCAGTTACTTGACACACGCATGTGGATGGGACTTCCCTTCCATTCATGCCTCCTCTTGGGTCTTCCCTCTTCTGCAAGGCAGCCTCAGCTCAGGCCAGCTGCTGACCGCCTCCCCTCCTGTGGATTGTGCAGGCGGCCTTTCCTCCCAAAGGAAAAGGCACCAGGCTCCCCAAGCTCTATAGCTTTTTACTCCACCAAAGCCAGATCTCTACTAAAGTCACCCTCAAACTTAAGGGACAGGGATGGGGGTTGGCTGACTAAAAAAGTTTTAGCTCCGTCTTTCAGTCCCTGGCTGGGGAAGGAGAGATATTTTTCCTTCCTTCCTTAACTGCAGTTTTAAGTTGCCACAGTGTCTGTGTGTCCATAATATGAGATTCCTCTGCTCTTTGAAAGTAAGAGTGTTATGTCTGTACAAATCCTTTTAAATAAACATTTGTTCATTGGAGTAAATGCTGACTGAGTGCCTATAAGTACTGGGTAATAGAAAAGATGTAATGCCCTTTCCCCTTCTGGCTAGCTCTTCTTCACTCCACCCTGCAAATGAGGCAATGAGGCACACCACTGCACAATAATTTATCTTACGATTATAATTTCCATTTATTCAGTACTTCCTCTGTGCCAGGTCCCTATGCAAGATGCTTTATATAAATGATTGCATTTGATTTTCAAAACAACCTTTCAATCTAAGTATTCTTACTGCCATTTCCAAAAAAAGTAAACTGAAGTTCAGAGACGTTTAATAACTTGTCCATAGTTAAACAAACAGCTAGTAAGAGAAGTTGCAGGATTTGAACTTAGGTTTGTCTGGTTTCAGAGACCATTTTTTTTCTACTTTTTCTCCATAATCATTTTTTTTTCTTTAAGCTTTTCTCCCTTTTGGGATGACTTCATGATAGGAGTATTTAAAATAACTCCAAACTAGAAATCAAGGACTAGGGATATGGTGGCTGATGCAGGAATATAAAGACCTGGCTCCCTGTAGAGATACAATAGGGAACTCTAAAGGGCCATTCCAGGTTCAGAGCTCCTCCTAGGGTGGACTGGGGTTTCCATTCATTAAGACTGTTGCAGTCTAACAGCTCCCTCTGTCCAATCCTGCCTCCTGCTCTTCCCTTCTCTTCTGCAACTGTTGATCCCAAGGGCTCCCTGATTCATTAAACTGTGCGAGTGCTTCCCAGGAAGCCAATAGCTGAAAAAAAAATCTGCCTCAGTGTCCTCATCTGGAAAATGGGGTAAATAATAGTACCTACTTCTGGGGCTATTGTGATTCATGCCAAGTGCATACTAAGCACTCAGTAAGTATGCATTTCCTGCTTCCCCTGGTGCCTCTGGCATCAGGTCGATTGGATGACCAGTCAAAAGAAATACTGTTCATCTTACCTCACATTATTCTATCACCCCAGATTTTGCTCAGGTACAAGCCTGCTTTTGTGGTGGCCCAGGCTCACTCTGGGTAAAGTGAAGACATTCAGCTGTGTGACTTGGGGTACACGTTACTGTGTATAGACCGCTATAGGTCCCTGTGAAGTATAGGAGGAGTGGTCATTGCTGTGCATCTGTGGCACACTGGAGGGCACATCTGTTGATTTGTTTGCAGCACCACTAGCCAGGTCAGTTATTTCCCAGCAACACTTCACTTCTGAAAGGCAAGGGAGAAATTCATGCCTTGAACACCTAAACCTGTCAGCCACTGGGTGGGTTATATAATCTCATTTAGTTTTTCAGTTCACTTATCTATTGTTGTGAAACAAACCACCCAAAAACTCAGTGGCTTAAAACATTCTCCATCTTGTTTGCTCATGATTCTGCAGTTTGGGCAGGACTTGCTGGGAGTGGCTTATTTTTATTCTATGTGGTTTTACCTCACACCGCTTAGCTGGGGCTGAAGGATCCAAGATGTCTGCACTCATATCTGGCACCTCAGCAGAGGTGGCTGAAACAGCTGTGGGCTGGCTGGGCCCCCCACCTCACTTTATAGTTGTGTTTTGTTTTTTTTTAAGAAATTTAATTGGGGAACAGTGTGTTTTTCCAGGACCCATCAGCTCCAAGTCAAGTAGTTATCTTCAGTCTAGTTGAGGGTGCAGCTCCCTGGCCTATGTGGGAATCAAACCAGCAAACTTGGTGTTACAAGCCTGCACTCTAACCACCTGAGCTAACCAGCTCCTCCTAGAGTATTTTATCTTCCTCGCTCCATTTGGCCTTTCTCTCCAAGTAGGCTAGTCAGAATTCCTTTTTTCTTTTTCTCCACCTGGCAGCAGGCTTCCACAAGGGTGAAAATCAAAGCTACAAGGCCTTTTGTGGCATAAGATCCAAAGGCATACAGCAACACTGCTGCTGTACTCTGTTGGTCAAAGCAAGTCACAGGGCAAGCCCAGATTTAAGGAGTGGGGCAAAGAGACTCCACTTCTTGATGGGAGGAGCTGTATGCATATCAGAGATGGGAGGAATTGTTGGCCATATTTGCAGACAGTCTAATACGTCTTTCAGCTACCTTGTAAAGAAAGTGTTATGTGTGTCCATTTTTACAGATGGTAAAACGGAGGCTCAAAAAGGGTAAAGTAATTGCCCAACTAGTAACTAGGAAGGGGCAAAGCCAGGAGTCAGACCCAGGTTTTTATGCCCATAGCTCGTGTTCCTTCTAAGTGCAGTGCTGCAGGTAAGTCTCAGACCTGGTTAAGAGAGAATTAAGAAGGGAAGAGAAAGAACAAAAATAGAGTGAAAGAAGACAAGTGGGATGATGGAGACAGAGGAAAGGGCAGAAAGGGGTACAATAGAGAAGGGACTTGCTTCCATGTAGGGCCTCCCATAGAGGAAAAGCTGATAGCTGAGAGTCATGGTTCCTTTACAGAACGACAAAACTCTGAGGCTCTGCTGCCACCTGCCATTGAGTCTGTAATGGTTATAAAAGGCACAGGCCCTTCCTGGGAATGAGGCAGAACCCTCTTTTATACCACACTTTTTCTGCTTATGGCTGGGGAGGAAAGACCATCCCCAAACAAGAATTCCCGATATGGTCTGTGCTCCTGTGGACTTCAGTGGTTTCTGTCCTGCACAGCACAGGGAAATGACACTGACCCAGGAGCCTGTTGTTCCTGGGTTCAAATCCCAAATCCTTTATTCGTTAGCAGTGTATTGGGCAAATTATCAAACTTCTACCTCCGGTTCCCCCATCTGAAAATTGGAGAGAATACATGCTGTGTGGGGTTTCAGAGAAAATTTCAAAAACAAAGAAGGGGAGGTTCACCATTCAATGGACACCCATAATTTAGTTCTTTCACAGACTTCATCACATGGCAGGCAGCATAGTGTAGTGGCTAAGAGCACGGATACTAAAGTTAGAGAGTCTGGGTTCAACCCTCAGCAATGCCATTTGCTAACTGTGTGACCTTTGGTAAGCTCATTAACTTTTTTTTTCAGTATTAGTTTCAGGTGTACAGCATAGTGGTTAGACATTTATATAATTTATGCAGTGATCCCTTGACTAGTACCCATGTGGCACTATACATAGCTATATCTCCTATGCTGTACTTTATACAGCCCCATGACTATTTTATAACTTCCAGTTGGTAGTTATAATAGAATTTACTTCATTGGATTGTGAGGATTAAATGAGATAAAATTGATAAAGTGCACATAGAAAGCATTATTTGAGTGTTGATAAACAAAGTAAACAAATAAAATCTTAGCAATAGTAAGTGTCATCAACTTAGAGATGAGAAAATTGAGGCTGGTAGAAGTCCAGTGCCTTCAAATTTGGGTCTGTCTGACTACTAAACCACAAAAATTCTTAAAAGAGTTACCGATGTCTGCAATGTATTTTGAAATGCTTCAAAACTTAGGTGCATTGTTGGATGAATAGAAGGCGGGATGCATGATAAAATACATCCAGTAAAATGCTAATTGTAGAATCTAGGTGGAGGCATATGGGTGATACATACAAAATTTGCTGTATATTTAAATTTTTTCACAATAAAATATTGGGGAGATAAAGTATCTACCTGGTAATGTTATTCCTTTGCCTAACATCCTTGGTTTGTTCCTCAGCATTCCCATTTTATAATGTGACCTCTTGTAAAATCAGCAGACCATTTCACTGACGCCAATGGAATTGGCAAACCATCGGGGAGAACAGATGCTAATGGAGTAAAAGTGACAGTTCTGCGCTCCCACCTACCGCGAACGTGTTCTGGTTTTCCCAGGACTATTCTGGTTTTAGAACTGCAAGTCCTACATCCTGGGAAACCCCTCAGTCCTAGGCAAACTGGGATGGCTGGTCTACTGCACTTTGGGGCCCAACTGTGCTGTGAGCCTGTGTCTCTTTTTTTTCCTGGTAATGCTAAAGGCAGCTGTCATCTGTTGTTTCTAATCCATGCCATCCCATGCTCAGGGGCTATGGGTAGATGGTTTGCTATCTGGCCCTGACCTACTCACTCTGCCATCTGGACAGATGCTGCTCCCTACTGGTAATGGGGTGCACCTGTTACAGAACCTTCCCCCCTTTTACTGTTGTTCGGACTGAGCCTGAGTTCCAAGATTTGTGCCTGAGAAGCCACAAGCCCAAAGAACACACCAAGTGGCTGAGTGTGATACATAGGTTTATTGAGACTTACAGACTGGGAAGAGTTTCCGGTGGTGGCCGGCCGGAGGGGTAGCGCTCCGTACACAGGCAGAGAAGAAACGAGGTTATATAGATTACAGCAAACAAAGCACATTTCCTGAGAAAAACCATCTGGCAGGCCCTCCTGGTCTGGTCTCATGCACACAGCGTTCCCATGGAGCTGGGAGACCCTGACTGCCTGCTAGCTTATATGACTGTGGGCCAGGTCCCTACAGCTGTGCACACCCAGTACGGTGGCAGTTATGCCTGCTCCTTTCTCCTCCATACATCACTGCAGTCATAGCCTTTTTTAAAAAAAATTAATTTCAGGTGTACAAAACAATGTAATAAATAGTTAGACATGTACACCCCTCACAAAATAACCCCTCACCCCCAATCTACTACCCCTCTGACATCGTATATAGCTGTTACAGTTCCATTGACTATTCCCTATGCTGCACTCCACATCCTGTGGCTGCGTATATACTGAATAATAAAAGTCCTGGCCTTTTGAGCTTGAAATCCCGTACTTCTTATATTTACAAGGGCACTGAGACACTGCCTTTGGTCTCTGGATCCTACTGCCAACCCTAATTCCAGATATTCTTTCACACCTGACCAAATAACAGCAATACCCACCAGGAGGCACCTGGGTTCCATCCAGAAAGGAGAAGGGATGCCTCCACAGCAGGCAGGTGGCTGTATTTGTCCAAAAAGAGCAAGTTACAGATACCCATACATGGCAGCACCTGGGAAAACTGAAGAGCCAGCCTGGGGGAGCCCAAAGACAAAAACAGCTGCTCATGTGCTCTCAAGAGAAGCCTACAGAGAAGAGCATCTTTCTACTTGATAC